GTGTGTGTGTGTGTGTGTGTGTGTGTGTGTGTGTGTGTGTGTGTGTCCATGCAAAGCCTGGGAGGCCTCTGAGATCATTGCTAGGGAGCTGGCTGTGTGAGGAGATGAGGCGCTATCTGCCACCTGGGTCCAAAGGCTGCCGGCTGCTCTCTGAGGGTGAGAGTCCCGGAGTCTCTGGGACTGAAGCCTCATGGGTCTGAAGTCTTCCAGGGTGGGTTCATTCCCTTCTGGAATGGAAGCTTCTCTCTTCGCCTCATCCTCCATAAGCAAGATCTCTATTTGTTCATGTTTGGAGTTCCATCTCCCTTTGTCTAGATGGAATTTGAGCCAGAATTCTTTTGGAGAGCCCAGTAAGGACAGCATCCACTGTACATGGTCCTGGGCCGGGAGGACATGCCCGCGGACACTTCCTGTCCCCTATCCCTGTCCCCATCTCCTCAATACCCCAGCCCCCCTTCACAGTCATATTGGAGACTTCTTCCCCTGTGATAGCCTTGTTCTGTTTCCTTTCTACCTTGATGGGGATGGTGACTAAAACATACTGTCACAGGGTATCGAGGCTGTGAATGTCTCAAGGACACTTTGTAGATCTGAGCTCATGTCTTGTGTGCATCTGACTGTGCTGTCATGTTTCTTAAATTGACAGAATGTCATTCTTTCTCACTGAAAACTGAGGGAGGGAGCATGTCCTCACACACCCTACATGAGCATCTTTGGGAGACACTGGGGTCACAATTGTGGACTATTTGTCTTTGTTTTTTTTTTTTTGTTTGTTTGTTTTTTGTTTTAAGACATGGAGCCAGGCTGGCCTTTAACTCACCACTGTACAGCCGAGGATAACCCTGAACTCCTAGTCCTTCTGCCCCAACCTCCCGATTACAGGTGTGGGCTCCCATCCTGGCTTACGTTGTGGACTTTTTGAATATCCACAGTGAACTGTTAGAAGCTGCAGTGACCAGAACACAGGTTATCTTCTGTGTCCATTCTATTTTCTTTTCTGAGCCTAACGTCTGGTTGGGGAAATTGGGGAGGTCAGAAGCTGCTGGGGACTTGGAAGGAGGGGCAGCAGACTATTTCCACAGGAGCTGGTCAGAAGCCCCAGAAAGGGGAAAAGTTTACATGGTGTCTTTTGAAAGCTTTAGTCAAACGTTTATCTTTTAAATGTTGTAATGTATTCACTCCACTCGACACCTATTTATTGAGCATCTACAGTGTGCCAGCTGAAGACCTCCACCTCAGAACGAATGGACTAGTTATGGTAGAGCAACAGTCCTTTTGGAGACAGATGCCGTGAAATGTCCCTTTCCAGTCTGGCTCATAATTTAAAACAGATCTGCCAGGTCACTACAGTGACCCCAAGCCTTGCTGGCAGATTGCTACATAGTATTTTCTGCATGCCACTCTCTGGGCTGAATGCAATTAAGAAGCTTGCTACGTTGTCTCTTCAGGAGGATTGGTCCCTTTGTACAATAATCAAAGACCCCTTCACAGAGAGAGCAGGCTGCTGAGCACTGCATTAGGTGCTCCCCAAGGCTTCCCCTGAGAGTCCCCCACCTATTGGGAGTACTGATGATGAGTCCATTTTACAGGCAAGGAAGCTGGGGCCACCCAGATGGCAAAATGGCTGAACCCATGTTTGCATTCAAGTCTAGGCGACCCCCGCAAGCCAGCTGAGGTGCCTGCTCTGCTGTATTAGATGGAGGGGCTCCCGTATTGCTCATTGTGGTTGAGGCAAGGTATTCTAGCTCAAGGGAAGACATTGCTAGTCCAAGGGAGGGACACTCTTGTGACCTAGCAGGGAGTGTCCAGTTCGGCTCAAGGGAAGGAATGCCTTATTTGGGGACACTTGAGAGCAGGCTGAATGATTTCAGGGGATTATCCCTGGTTTCAATAAACTCCAGGGAAAGGGGATATCTAATGTGCAAATGGCCTGTCCCACCCACTTCCTAGGTCATAGGAAGTATCTTACCTCTTTCCTGGACCCCAAGGTCTTTGCACTAGAAGGGTTAAGGAGCCCTTATGCAGGGCAGAAGTGGCTGTGAGGGCATTTGGAGCCTGGGGGAGAGGCAGTAACTTGGGGGACATTCTGTCTGGGTCCTGACCTTGTTGCCTCGCGCTCTTTTGTAAGGGGAATTTCCTACCTGGATGCTTTGTACATATTTGTTACACTTTTATTAAAAAAATTGATTGTGCACCTCTAATGAAGGCCTTTGTCTGTTATTTTCTCTGGAAAGGTCCTCAGAGACTATGAGATAACCATGGCAACTGTGCAGCCCATGAGGCCTCATCTCATGCTCATCCTCGTATTTAGTGTGTGTATTCACGTGTGTGCTCATATGGAGGTCAGAGATCATCCTCAGGAGCTGGCCATCTCTTTGTGTACCCTGGCTAGCCTGGAACTCAGTAAGTAGACCAGGCACTCAGAGGTCCGTCTACCTCGGCTCTCGATTGCCAGGATTAACAGTGTGTCCCACTATGCCCAGCTCCACTTTGCCTTTTGAAACTGGGTCTTTTCATTGGACCTGTGGCTGAGGTGGCTAGCAAGCCCCTTAGCGGTAAAACTGTCCCTGTCATCTGATGCTACTAACTTGCACTTAGATTTCCACCTCTGCCTGGCTCCTTGGCCAGGTCTGTATGTATTTCTTAGAATTATTTTGGTTTTTTGAGATAGAGCTCAACATAAAGCCCAGGACTGCCTTGAACTCTCAATCCTTCTCTCAGTCCGATCGCAGTGGTGAACCACGGTACCTAGCATGAACCAGCAACTCTCTCCTCTACCTACAATTTCTGGTGATGAAACCCAGAGCCTTGGGCATACTCGGCAAGCACTCTCCCACAGAGACACATGGGCACACTCAGCACGTACCCTCCCACAGAGACATACCTGCCCTCACTGGCAGAATCTAAGCAGATTCTGTCACCGAGCAGCGCTCCAGCCAGGCAAACCTTTCCTGATCACCACTGCTTCCACACCCCAATCCGGCAGCTGGGTGTGTTTTGCTGGTACCTGGACACCAGTGAGACGCAGGGCCTCTAGGGTGCATCCCTTGAAATGCCACTGGAGACAAGCTCCCCAGAGGTCACTGTACAGCACAGCTCCCTCTCACCTCTCTTCTTTCGTGTGTACGTGCCTCCATACAAACCTGTATAGAGGCCGGAGGTCAGCACTCAGGGTCTTCACCTGTCTCTCTCCACTTCACTTCGGGAGGCAGCATCTGTGTCTGATTTTGAAGCTAGGTTGGCTGGACCCAGGAAGCTGCCTGTCCTCCCTGCCCCCACAGTCAGGCTGCCTCGTCCAGCCTTTTACATGGGAGCATGGAGTCTAGGGATCCAAACTCAAGTCCTCGTGCTTGTGTGGTCAGCACTCTACCTACGGAGGCACCTCTGCAGCCAACCCATGTCCGCTTGGTTCCTTCTTGGCTTCCCAAGGGAAAGGCGTCCACCACCTCTCCGCAGGCTCCGTGTGCCACTCTGTTGCTTCAAAACAGGTCTATCTGGCTTCAGGAGGCACATTAACCCACAAAGACAAGTTGCATCCAAAAGGGAGGTTTATTGGCAGAAGGTTCCCAAAGACACCAATGACAACCACATGTCTGAATGCAAAAGCACCACAGACTTCAGACTGCTGCCCAGTTCCTCCTTGGCAGCGAGATGTTCCCAAGGCTCCATACCTGTGTGCCATTCCCTTCAAAAGGTGCTGGCTCTGTTAGGCTCAGGTGCAAAGCAGGCCATTCTTATCCCCACATACTTCTAAAAGATTTTGTTTTAAATTACACACACACACACACACACACACACACACACACACACACACACACGTGCACGCCATGTATGTGTAGGTGCCTGTGGAGGCCAGAAGAGAGTGTTCAATTCCCTGGGTCTTCTGAAGAACACAAGGCAAGTACTCTCAACAGCTTTGCATCTCTCCAGCTTCCTCTCCACATATTATTCTCAAATTCTTATACATAAACAAGACTCTAAGGGCTCAGTGGGATTTGAGTCTGTAACCCACAAAATACTGGGAGCCAGATGCACAGCCGTGAAGCTCCTTCGACCTGCTCAACACAAAGGGCTCACATGTCACTGCAGGGAAGAGAATGGCAGTGTTCTCCAAGGGACACTTTTCCACAACCTGATGTTTGGGAGACAGAAGCCAAGCCCTCCAATGGGATGTTTCCTTGAAGGGTGGGAAGTGAACAAATAAGACCCTCAGCTGCATCCTCTCACTGTCCCCAGGGCACACGCCCAGCTTCGGTAGTCTTTACATGGCAGGGGTATAGTTTATAGTTACGTAATGTTAGAAAGGTAATGGGGGGGGAGGAATCATTGGTGCATTCACCAGTAACCCCCACTGTTTACCTTTTTTCTCCTTTTAAAATAGAGTCCCGTGTAGCCCATGCTGTCCTAGAACACACCATGTAGCCAAGGAATGACCGTGAGCTTCTGATCCCCCTGCTTCCACTACCCAGTGCTGGCACTGTATGTGTTCACTGCCCCACTTAGTTTACAGGGCTCTGGCCATGGAGCTCAGGGCTTCCTGCATGTTAGGTGAGCTCTGCCCATTGTTAGCTTCCTCCGTCCCAGCAAGCAACACGCCAGGTTTTGTAGGCCCCTGAGAGACACAGGGTACAAGGACATCACAAAGTGTGCAGAGTTCGGAGTCAGGTTTCCAAGCTGGCTCCCAGTGGCTGCCTCTGCTCCATCCCATGCCACACTTCATGTGTCTCCCCCAGCTCCAAACCTCCATAATGATCTCTCAGATTAAAAAAACAAAACAAACAAACAAACAAACAAACAAACAAAAAAACACTCGTAGGCAGTCCCAGTGCTCTCCCTAGGTACCTCCTCAAGCCAGAGAGAACAGAGGGGCCCATCCTCCCTTTCCTCTTAGAACATCCAGACAGTGGGATTGTTTAACATCACGGCCATTGCCATAGTAACAGAGCTTGAAGGATGCCATAGTCCCCTGGAAAGGGTGTGTTGCGCTGATACCAGGAAAGCACCAGGGAGGCCAAGCAAAAGAAGAAGTCCAGGCGGGGGTACCCAGGGGCATGAGTCCTGAATCTACTGTTGGGAGGGAGATGGCAGTGAGGCACCCATCTGCCCCGCCCCCACGGCATATATGCGAATCTACCCACTAGCCATACACAGTTTCTGAAAATGTGGCTGGGCCAGCCTGTGGTGCGGATGTTGACAAGGAGAGAACAGAGCTGGGAGAGGGTAAAGGCAGGAAGGATTCCAGAGACTTCTGTGTGGTCACCTGTGCTATCTCATCCCAGGTTTCCAAGCAGTGTGTTTCACAGGGGGAGAAAGCAGCTGTGTCCTAGAGACCCAGGAATTCGAAGTGCACCTGTGAGCTGTTCCCAGTGTTCTCTGCGGTTCCTCTCAGGCGTTTGGTTAAAGACAGCAAGCAGTGTTTTCAGAGGCTCTGGGAGGACTATTGTTTCTCTGAGCTAATTACCTCACTAGAGAGAGGGAGGGGGAAATGGATTGCTCCTGAGCCGTGTGCCATCTATGACATGGATTGAAGGCACCCAGGGGAGGCATCCATGTCCACCAGAGCTTTGCAAAGGCCTGAGCTGCCAGTGAGGGACAGTACAGAAGAGAAGGTGGGGAAAGGAAGTGACAGAGGTCAGGGGGCATGCACTTCTAGGCCTGAGCTGACCCTTCTTGAGACTGACTGTCCCAGGCAGAGCGCAGGAAAAAAGGAATCGAGGTCAAGTCTTTCCATGGCTCCTGCCATTTGACCTCAGGGGGTCAGCATTTGCTGCTAGTGTGCTCTGCCTCTGATGTGCTGTAGGCCCAGAGCACTGACGCTCAACCAGCAGGGGATGTGAGAACGGCCTGTGTGCTCTTGACAAGCTGGCTATGCTGGCCCCTACACTAGCAGCAGCAGGCAGCACTGGGGACTCATGGGCCCTTACTAGCTGGGTGACTGGGCCAAGTTTCTCATCTCAGTTTCCTCACCTGCCAAAGGGTGTGAAAGAGAGTACCCTCATCCCAGGGCCCTAGGTCACATGGGTGGGTGGACATTCTCCCTGTGGCTCTTATTGGCAGACCTAGGTCAGGTTGCACTCTCTCAGCTCATACCAGTTTGTAGTGGCCGGAAGCAGGTTGAATAAGGAGAGACTGTTGTACGAGCAATTCCTCCACGTAGAGTGGACGGGCCACCTACCTGGGGAGAAGCCAAGTCTGAGTGAGGAGGCTCCCCTTTCTGGTGGGGCAGGACACACACCTGTGTGTGATGCCAGGGTGATGAGAAATGTGTTGGTGGGGAGAGCCCGGGATCATCAGGTAGAGGTGGTAGAAGGCAGGAGAAAGTGCTGGAGGCTGTTTCCCATGAGTCCTCAGGGCTGGGCTCAGCAGCCCTGGGCTCCCTGGTGTCTGCCACTTATGCTCAGCTCAGTACACCTGCAAGTGTGCAGACGTGGCCCCATCCTTCCAGCAGCGCAGGGTGTCGGCGGCAACAGAGCGGCAGAGTGGGCATGTGCGCTCCCGGTCCAGCCACAGGCAGAGGCACTCCTCACAGAACACGTGCTGTGGGAACAGGAGGAAGGAGCGTGACCCGGGAGCCTGGGGAGGGCAGCAAACTAAGCAGGTCACCCACGCCCTCCAGGAGCTTGTATTGCAGGAGGGGGGGACAACAGGCCCCATCCTGTCTAAAACAGAACTGTCAGCAGTTGGTGCTCTGGCTGGGAGGCAGAGGTGAGGCCTGGGGAAGCAATCCTGAGAAAGTAGCACCTTTTGTGGGAGGATGGAGTGGGCTGGGAGGCACACCTGGTAGGGGAAAGCACGTGAAAATGCCCTGAGGCTAGGATGTATCACTTAGTTGGAGGGGCAAGGGGATGCTGAGACAGACAAAAAAATGAATATGAGGTCAGAGGGCACAGACTATGTAGGACCCTGTGAGTCATTTGAGGATTTGGACTTTTTTTTTTTGGTGGATATCATCTTTCTTTAGACGTGGTCTCGCTGTAGTCTAGACTGATCTGGAGCTCACTGTGAAACCAAAGCTGGCCTTGACCTTCCTGCCTCGGCAGATCTAGATGCTGGCATTACAGGCCTGAGGCGCGATGCCGTTTGGCTTCTATTCTGGGAGAAGTAAGGAACCACAGCAAGGCTCAGAGCAGAGAAGCAGCTTAACAGGATTTTCTCTACAGTTAAAAAAAGAAATTTGGTAGGATCTCATCAAGTCTGCCATCAGCCGTGTAGCTAAGGGTGACCTTGAACTCCCCACCCTCCTGCCTGCACCTCCCCAGTGCTGGGTTTCAGGAGTGCAGCCATGCTTGGTTTATTCAGCACTGGGGACTGAGCCCGGTGCTTTGTACAGGTCAAGTGAGGGCTCGCAAAACTGAGCTACATTTCCAGCTCATGATTTATAACTTTATAAATTTAAAAGACTGGCTTGCTTGGTAGATTGAGAATGTGCTGGTCAATACGGGTCCCGCACAGGCCCTACAAGTTGGGTGAGTGATTTAACTTCCTGTGACTCACTTTCTTCATCTGCAAAATGGGGCAGTAGAGACCCTGTCTTAGTGCACTTACAGACATACTAAAATGACGTAGATGTAACACCCAAACACGTGGCTTTTTATTGGCTTCTGGATGGGATGTCAATGTCCCCAAGGGCAGTGACAACTGTCCAGCCCCAAGTAGCTCTGTCACTGTGTCTGAGAAATGAATGTAGGTCAAGATGCCAGGGTGAGAAAGACCCTGCGTCTGCCTCCTCAGCAGAGAATAGACAGAGTCCGGGACTAAGAAAATGGATTCAAGGAGCCACATCTGCCCAGCGCCCTAGCTGAGGAGCGCATGAGCCTCAGCCTGCCTCTGTCCACCCCTGCAGAGGAGGAGACATATGAAGGATGGGCTGGAGTACTTTTCCCAGCTGGGTTCAGAACAGCAGGAGTGTAGCTGGTGCTGAAGGGTGTGCTTCTCCAGGCTGGGACTCACGGGTTGGGAGAGGAGCCCTAGGGGCTGAGTTCACATGCTGGGTATCTAAGTCTCACCTACAGTCCCACACTGAGCTCAGAGCAGGCATCACTGGATGGAGGGACCACAGACTCCATCCCTGCATGGAGGAAGAGGCTGTGAAGCGAGAAGTGTGTCCCAGGGCTTCTGTGTGAGCCGAGGAGTGGGGACACAAGCAGGTGGGTCTAGCAGATATCAGATAGGAGCAGTCCTGCTATCCTGCTGTCCCTTCACTGCTAATGAACTCTACTCATGTGATCACATCCCAGCAAAGAGATGGGTCAGAGACTCAGAGAGGGGAAGACACAGGCCCAAGGACACACAGCAGCTAGGCAGCGGGACTCAGGAGTATGGCAGAGAGCTGTCTCTCATGGTCTGTAGTAACCTTTTCCTCCTAGGACTCACCTCTTTGTGGACCCCTGGCCCTGGTGCATTGCTCATAGCAAGGACAATACAGTAGTGGAAGCCATCCCTGGATTAGATTATAAAACCGTGACTTATTATAAAACCTTGCTTACACTCTGAGGTCCTCATAGGCTTGCTCTAACAAAACTGCCAGGGCGGTTTCTGGTCACAACAGTCATCAAGGACCTTCAGTCGTACAGTCCACAAGGAACTGAATCCAGCTCATAACCATTTCCTAAAGCTTGGAAGAGGCTGCTCCCTCAGGTGAGCCTGCGGACCCGCCAAGTTTCCTTGTGAGTTGCCTCAAAGCAGAGGGCATGGCTAATCGGTACTTGGAATCGTGGCCCCTGGGAGCTATGAAATCAGAGATGTAGTGTTGCTACCAAGTTTTGGAACATTTTGTTATGCAGCAGTGGTAGTTGATACAGAGTGCCTGACTCTACAGCAGAATCAGCAGCTGTCATGTGCTAGCTACTGTGTAGAGTGTGCAGACAGTACACAGGGGAGGGTCTGGAACATGACGTCAGAAACAACCGATTCGGCAGAAACACTGCTGCAAATGTGGCTATTATACAAGACACACACATATGAGTCAGTCAGTCAGTCAGTCAGTCAGTCAGTCAGTCAGTCAGTCAATCTTAGACCCGCTTCCATCACAAAGCATGCCAGCCATGCCCAGACTTGGAATTAAACCATGGCCCAAGACACGTTCTGATTTTCAAACACACAGCTGCAAACATCATCACCTATGACTGTATTAAGAGATCCACACCTGCACAGGACATGCTTTTTCACCCTTGGGGGGAGCCAATGGCCGAGAGGGCTAGTGTCACCATGAGTTGTAGTGCTTCGATATGGAGTTAGTACTTAGCGTAAGTTGGTGCTCAGTAAGTACCCAGTACATAAGGAAAAAGATGCAGCAATCACAGGCAGGTGTGCAGAGCCTGGATCCCAGCTCCGCTATTCCCTCTCCCCAAGGAGGCCACAAGCACAGGCTTTGCTGGACAAATCTCAGCATGTTGGCAAGAATTCCAGCCAAGGTACCCTGATTCTCCAGCACAGCCTTTGGGGTGCCTCCATATAATAGGCCGAGGCTTAGTGGAAAGGGCAGAGCTATAGCACCAAAGGCTGGTTCTGTATAGGGAGCGAGCTTGTTTGAATCCTGGTTCTGTACCTTGGGTAAACAGGTCTTTACCTTTCTGAGCCCGAGTCTGCTCTGTTAATAGACAGGGCTCCTCTCTCCCCACAGGGAGTCCAAGGATGGATACAGCCTCTTATGCATCAGGTATGAGCAGTTTTTAAGCCCAAGTCAATGGATGTCATGATTCTCCTGACTTCTTGTTGGCTGTTCACACACCCAGCCAGGCTCACAGCAGCCTGCCTACAGTCAGAAGAGACTCTCTGCTCTGTGGCAAATGAGTCCTTGGAGAAGTCTGACTTGGTGTTGAGCATCTCCAGTTCCCGAGGTCTGTGTCTGGGTGGGTGGCATTCCATGAGCATATGTGGAGAGACTACCTGGACCAGCACCGGAGCAGATCTACAGCCTCTAAGGATGCTCACTGCCTGACAGTCTTCCATCCATACTACCTTAAGGGCATTGAGGGCAGAGAAAGTGATGTGCTGGGGTTCACTGATAACTCTCTGAAGATGAAACAGGTGGGTTATCCATCCACCCATCTATATTCTCTACCTATCTATCCATCCCCCATCTACCTATCCATCCATCCACATCCACCCACCTACTATCTACCCACCCACATCCAGTTAACCATCCATACACTCATATCCATCCATCCATCTGTCCGTCCATCCGTCCATCCATCCATCCACCCACCCACCTACCCAATACTCACTGTGCCAGTACTAGGTCCCTTCCACTAACTAAAACAGCCATAGCCCCCACTCGCAAAGTGCTTGCAGTTTGGCCAAAGGGAGACAGATGTTACACAATAATTTACTCCATAAATTATCGTGATAATATCTGAAAAGGGCTCTATGGTGAAAACCCTCAGTGTGTAAGACCAGGGCATGTGAGACCACAGTGTATAAGCACAGACCATGTGAGGCCATAGCGTGTGAGACCTTGGTGCAGAAGAACACACCGTGTGAGACCACGCCATATACGACCACGGCAGCGAGGATCATGGCTAGTCCTGGGAAGCACAAATGGGGAAACCTTTCTTAAGTGACATGCTCAGTCATTCAATGACAGTAAGGCCCTTTCCCCTGCTCTGATCACCTCTGCCCTCACAGGCCCAGCACACAGCAGCAGAGCAAGGTGTCTTCAGCCACTGTATGTGGCTGACACTCCTAGATCTAGGATGGTGGTGTCTTGACTGCCCCCTCCCATGAATTCCTCATCCACCTTGGGAAGATATGCTGTGAGGAGAATGGAAGAGACAGATTGAGGCCCAGAGAGACTGCCAGGAGCACAAGTTTCACCTCGCCATCATGTTCAGATAATCCCCGTCACAGAGAAGGAAATACAGATGGCTCCAAAGCTCGAGCAGAGATGCCCAGCCACACTCATAATTAGGGAGATGCAAATGAAAGCGGAGCTGAGACAGCGCTGTCACCCGTCAGTCTGGCAAACCCAAGGCATTTGGTAATGCTGCGTGCAAGCGAGGGTAGGAGTAAGGGGCTGGGTCATGTGGGAAGAGGCAGGTAGTCTCTCCAAAGAGGGCAGTTTAGCAAGACCTGTCCAAACGGACGACCTCTGACCCAGTGATTCTACCTGTAGAAACTCATGCTACCCAGAGCCCGCTGATGGCTGAAGAGTGTCTGCTGGGCTCAGCCATGTGCTGAGCCCCGATCACAGGCCATGATCGGAGTTCTGAGGCTCCCTGTTAGTGAACTCATTTAACCAACACCATGGGCTCAGGCAGGCACGATCCATCTATTTCAGTCACCTTTGTGACAGCCGTCTTTGCAGTAACAAGAGATGGTAAGAGACTGCGCCTCTCAGGAAACAGCCAGATAAATGATGGTCTACCCACAGAGTGTCAGGTCTGCGGCTGTAAGATGGAACACAGAGTGATCACTGAGCACCGGCCCTGGGTTACAAAGGCTCAGAGCCACACACAGCTCGAGGAGACTATGCTGCAAGTTTAGTTTGTCTTAAAAGATGTTGTGGGGTATATACTGTTTGTGTAAATGTATACAGAAACACGTGCACAATAAAAACATGCACAGGCTATGTTTGACATGATTGTGAATTCTGTAAAATGTCTTTAGCAAGAGATAATGGAAGCAGGCAACCAAGTTGCTTGTGAGGTTGGTACGGGGACAGAGGCCTGATGACAAGGGCAAGCAGCCTGTCATTAGTCTTTGTATGCAAATATGTATGTATGCAGGCATGTATGTACGGTATGTGTGTATGTATGTATTATTTTGTGAGTGTGCGTGCACCACGGCACATTCGTGGGAGGTAGTGGAGAATGTGTGGGAGTCCGTTCTCTCCTTACTAAGTGGGTTCCAGGGACTGGACTCAGGCCATCAGGCGATGCAGCGAGCGCCTTCACCTGCTGAGACACCTGCTGCCTCACTGGCTCCCTCCTTTGTATAGCTTGCAAATTTTTTTTTTTCTTAAAAACAAAAAAACCCTTTGTTCTGGACTAAGTTATGAAAAGGTTCAATAATGGAAACTCGGCCTCCGTTAGGCTCAGTTTCCCCTTACATTATTGCGTGACTGAGAAGGGCATTTGTCAAAGCTGGTACGTTAGTACTGATGGACTCTAGGCGCGATTAACACAGCAGTTTTATCCTCCACTCTCTGTCCTGAGAGCCAAAGCCAGTTGTGAATTGCGTTTAGTTGTCATGTCTCCTTTCTGAGTTTTGACTCAGGCAAACAGACTGCCATTTGTTTGAACAGAGGCTTGCCATGGAGCCCAGGTTGGCCTTGAACCTGTGGAGGGAGATCCCTCGTCTCTGCCTCTCAAGTGCTGGGATTCAAGAGGCGCACCATCACACCTAGCCACAGATAATGTGAAGGGGATGGGGTCGGAGGTCAGCTGGCGGAGTATTTGCTCAGCACACTTGGCGCACGCAGGAGGCATGGCAATGTACACCTACCACCCCAGCATGTGAGAGGCAGAGGTACAAGGGTTAGTTTCTGTCATCCTTGGCTCCACAGCGAGTTTGAGACTACTCTGGGCTACTTAAGACCAAGTCTCAAAAAGAAAAAGAGAGAGAGAGAGAGAGAGAGAGAGAAGAAAAGAAAAAGAAAGAGCATTAAAAACAAACTGCTTTAAAGTCTCAGACAGCAATAACAAATTTTTTTTTTTGTTAATGCTAAAAAGGACCCACCTCCTATCCCATCTTCCAAGGGTGTTAGGAAGGCCATCTGCCTTTCTTCTCATTCCTTCTGGAACCCAGGCTTATGCAAAAAACCTCCCCAGACTGGAGCACATCGCTCTCTGCCCCGGTCCCTGGGGACTCTACATGAATCTCTCTTACACAGCTCTTATCACTGTCTGCCTTGTTCATAGTTATTTATGAATATGCGTCTGAGTCCCTAAGGAGACTGCAAGCTTCCCCAGGAGGGGCCGGGCTCTGTGAGGCCTCCGCCTCTCTTCTGAACTCTGCCCTGGCTCACACTTACTGAATTGACACCTGGCCCTTGATGTCGGGAAGAGGGCAAGGGCCACATTAGGGAGCCAGAGCATTTACCACTGTGGTTGGAGGACCTCAATAATAATAAAAAGAAAGATAACGATAACTATGCTGAAAATAATAAAGACAGTGCTGGCATCTGCTGCGGTCAGCCACACAGACTTGGCTCTGCGCACATGATCTCATTTAGATGTAGCCAGGGCTGATGCACTAGGCACTACTATGTTCCCATAACTGTGGTAGGACACATACTTAGCATGCAGCATCATGACCATTTTATACTGGTCATGGGGAGCTGGAGTGATACCCCTCCCCCACATTGCACCAGCCAGAAGCCAGGTGTGGTGGTGCACACCTGTGATCAGTGCTGATAGGTAGCAGCGGGAGGATCCTGTGTGCAAGGCTTCCTGAGCTACACAGTGAGACCCTGTGCTAAAATAACGGCAAAAACCACTGAGTGCTGCCGGGGACTGGGGGTGTTTGGTGATACTCAGTACAAGCAAGCCCTGAGTTAGAGCCACAGCATGGGTTTTTAAAGAGTGGATGTGGCTGGGACTTGCACTTGGGACAGTGTGATGTCACACCAATCCAAGATGGACAAGTTCTACATTGACCAATAACACCGAGACTCAGAGGAAAAATCAGCCTGCCTTTGGCTGCCCAGCTGGAAAGATGCAGGGCTGAGATTTGAACCCTGGGCTAGCTGCCTTCGATCTTGACCAGGTTGCTCCCAAAAGACCACACTAGGGCCCCGAGATGTGCCCCCAGGACAGGCTTTTCCTGGAGTCCCCTGGGCGCTGCCTGCTCACCTGGCACAGGAGGATCATAGGATCTCGGAACTCAGCCTGGCATATAGCACAGATGGCGCCGGCTTCCGTGCACTGCTGCCCTGTGGCTCGGACCCCGTAATTCTGTTTGAGGAAGAGGGGGAGGAGGAGACAAACAGCTGTGAGCTCTTGAGGGAGGCAGTCTCTGTGGGGTGAAGAAGGACCCTGCACACTGCAGGGTCTGGTTCTCAGGGCCCCAGGCTCACTCACCTGGGAGGTGCAAAGGAGCTTCAGTGCTTTCCTGAGTCCACCCACACGACCACAGATGTCGAATGACTGAAAAGAGAGTAGAGCAAAGGCTGAGAACAATCTCCCGGCAGCCCCCATTTTTGTCTTTCACTGATCATTTTCAGGAAACTTCTTGCCATTTCTATCAGTTTTGCCTGACTTCTGTCCTGACATCCAGTGTCAACAGTCTCCTCTGTTACCCTGATTAGATAAATAAAGAAAGCTCAGGGCAGGCATTACTAATCAATCACAGCACTCTTCCTGTACTATAGCCACACTGCCAGCTGATCACAGTGAACAAGCTAAGGCCCCATAGCTGTTCCTGCATGGATAGCCTGGCTTGTCCTGTTGGGAGGAAGCAGAGTGGTCATATTCATAGTCTCTAGGCCCTTTAATGCCAGAAACAGAGAAAGGAGAGAAGTGAGAGACAAGAAAGGGAATGAGAGTTTATTTTTAGGGGCCAGTACGACGGTTCAGTGGGTAGAGGCACTTGCTGACAAGCCTGCCACTCCTGGGCTCAATCCCTAGGACCCATGTGGGGGAAGGAGAGGCCTGACTCCTGCAAGCTGCCCTCTGACCTCCACATGTACACTATGGCACACTCCACCTCCAACACTAAATAAAGTTTTAAAAAAGTATTGATATATGCTATGATACTATGATGCATCTCAAAAGTGTTATGGTAAATCAAACAAGCCACACCCAAAAGATCATTACACATCCCACTGACAGGACACTCCCAGCATTAGCACATTTGTGAAGATATAAAGTGGATTAGTGTCTGCCAGAGGCTGGGAGGCAGGGTGGATGGAGAATGGCTGCCACCTAGGAAAGCTGAGTACTGGGTGTCTTTGCGGAAGGAGGACATGCTTTGGAACCATACAGAGGAGGTGGTCCCACCAGACTGTAACAGCGATGCCACTGACTGCACATGGCATAAGGTTAGCAGCAGCCAGGCCTGGTGGTGAAGGCTTGTAATCCGTCCAGTTTCTCCGGAGGCTGAGGCAGGAGGACTGGGAGTTCAAGGATTACTTAGGAATTTGGTGAAAACCTTTGTCTGAGTTTTAAAAAGTAATGGCAGAGTGCCTGCCTATCATGAGCAAAACCCTAGGTTCAGTTCCCAGCAACACAGAAAGAGAGAAAGAAAAAGACATAGCTAGAGTGATTGGTGGTTAGTTCTAAGGTACATGAAAATCACTTTTATTTAAAGTCAGAAGATACTAGTGGCTGGTCCTAAGCTCCCCATCAAGCCTGGCCCAGCATGCCCTGAGCCAGCTCACCTTGCACAGACTGTAGAGAATGATCAGAACCCCTCCTAGGAAGTAGCTGTTGGAGGAGTCATCCCCCATGATGTATTTGTACCACAGCTGGATGGGAACGAGTGACCTGAACAGCTGGCTCAGCTCCTCGATGACCAGATAAAACTTTCCCTGCAGCCACACAAAAAGCATCAATTAGTGTTAGCGGCAAAGACCCAGAGGACAGAGTGAGGGCCCAGGCATGGCCATAATGACAGTCCAGGTCACAGGCAGGCCATTAATCAGCTTTGGAAAGCACTCAAGCTCACTCTAATGGGGACCGATGGATGAGGCCAGGGAGACATGGCTCCTGTCTGAGGTCCTTGTCCACCGCCCACTGTTTACTGCCCACAAGATCAAAGTGCCAGGATCAGGTGTCAGGGATGGAGAAACAGAACACTTTGGATAGGGCCCGGGTGTGGTCACTGTCTAGCTGGGAGCAGTATGGAGGGCAAGAGGGTAGTCACTGCCTCTTGCAAACTCCCTAAGAGCGCTGGTTCTGGCACCACAGGATAGGAGCAGGAAGGCCAGGCTAGGAGCCAAGGGCAGCCACCTAGTTCTACACTTCTACCTCTTGTGGCCTCCAAAGGAGCCAAGACCCCTTGGGAAAGATACCAGCATGGGGCCTTGCTCTTTCTGGGTTGACTCTCAGAGTGAGATTCCCATTTTTCATCTCATGAGGTTCCTCTGAGAATTAAAGCTCATGAGCAGGAAGAGGACCCAGATCAGTGCCAGGCACAAGTTCAGGGCTCCTTCTCCCTTTGGCCTTGAAAAGGTCTCATGAGGGAAGGCCTGTGATGGGAAAGAGAGAGGAATAAATGCTGTTTTCATGGACCCTAGTGAATGTAAGCACTGACTTGCTAGGGGACCCTGACATTTCTTCAAGGAGGTTCCCTGAGAGATACGGAGAAGAGCCCACTTGTGGGAAATGTTCTCAGCAGCTATTGCCACAAGACCCACTGACAGGAAACTGCCCAAGTGCACCACCCACCGCGGAACACATAACACAAATTCAGGCACTATTTATAAACTTGGAGACACACTGGCTATTGTAACTAAATAGTGACTGGATTTCATAGGCATGTGTTGTGAGTATGGTTATAAAGGCTCCATATGGAGCTGGAAAATGGCTTAGTGGATAAAATGTTTGCCAAACAAATGTGAGGACAGGAGTTTAGATCCTTACCACCTACAGAAAAGCCACACAGGTGTGGTATAATCCTAGTATTTAGGAAACAGGGACAAGGAATCCCAGGGAAAGCTGGCCCACTAGAGTAGCTGGATCAGTCAGCTCCAGATTCAGCAAGAAATCCTGCCTCAGTATATAGACAGTTACTGAGGAAGACACACTGGACATAAATTTGAATCCTCCACATGCACACATATACACAAAAGACATGTACACATGCATAAACGCACACACAGACTCTACATGACAATTCTTGTTTACATAAAGTCTCAGAATGGGTGACATTAGGCTAGAGTGATAAAACCAGAACTGTGGCTATCCACTGTGAGGAAGGGACTCTAAAGGCATATCAGCAAGTTATGGGAAATGGCAGAAGGTTCTTCACTGGTTGTAATGGTGCTCGTGTGGGTGTGGTCACATGCCCCAGTTCACAGAAATTGTGCTGCAAAGCTGTGTGCTTTGTTATATGTAAATCACACTTGAATAAGACTGAGTAGCACACATATACATGAGTCAACAGCCCTTCCTCCGGGGTCCACAGCCTCAAAAATGTGAGTGAGCTCTGTAAGTCATCTGATAAAGTAATCAGGACTTTGCACAAAGATGTGCCAAGAAAGAATGCCACCAGGAAGATCTTTGTAACAGCCAAAGGGGGGGGGGCACAAAGGAGATCCACAGTGGTGGGGCCTGACTGCTGGAGGTCTATGATGGAAAGCCACACAGCTATGAAATATTATCCTGTGAAACAGCATCTCTGTGGTTAACCACACACCCTGTAACCCAAGCAACCAAGGTCAGCACCCCAGTAATAAGTCACCCTAACACCATGAACTTTAGGATATAACCCACTGGGAAGGACAGTGTCACTTCTATGGTCCTCACTAAAACCATGAGAAAACCAGAGACAAATGCAAATGGTTGAGTCTGCAGAATAACCACCCAGCACTCTTCAGAACAAAGATCATGGACTCAGTAACAGAAGGAAACCAAGGAGAAGTGATAAGCCAATGCAATATGTGAGCTTGAATTTCTTAAATAATTTATATATATATATATATATATATAGCATATTCATGTTAGTGTGAGCCGCAGCTTGTACGTGGAGGTCAGAATCAGTTCTCTCTTTCCACTGTACTGGCTACAGGGGTCAAACTTGGGTCATCAGCCTTGGCAGCCAGCACTTTTATGAGCTAAACCATCTCACCAGACAAAGGGAGACTTTCTACCCAACTCTTTTCATCTATCATGATGGCTAGGCACAGGCATTCAGAAGGCGCTCTTGAAGCAGAAATGCATAAGAACCAAGAATGGTCATCTAGCCATTGATCCCATTGTGACTGTTTGGCTGAGTCCCGAGGGGGAGGGGGGCTTGTTTCCTAAAACGCCTTTCTCTTCAATACTCCTTCCATGCAGCCCCTTGCCCCAGAAATGTTACCTGGAGGCAAACCTGGGAACTTGTAGAAGGCAGGGAATGGCTGCCATGTGGCATTGGTACACACTCCAGGATGGCAAGGAAGGCTCCACCATGTCTATCCCAAACAGTAGGTACCAAGCTCTGCAGAATCCCACTGCTTTCCTGGGTTCCCAATCTCAGTCGTTCCTTGCTTCCTTCACTCTAATATACAGGATATCTGATATGTGACCTCCAAAGGGGTGTGACCCACAGGTTGAGAACTGCTGGCCCTGACAGAAACAACTAGAGATAGGGACTACTTTGGCAGGAGAGGGCTCTCTGTGCATGGGCAATGGTTTGTGTTTCTAGGTCTTCTGTGAGGAAGAATACTGTGGCAACCAGAGTGTGTGGTAAAGCAGCTTTTTCATGGTGGATGAGAAACAGAATAAAAGAGACCAAAGCAAGATGTATCTTCCAGGGACAGGACCCAGTGATCTATTTTCCCCAGCAAAGCCACACCCCTACCTGTCACTACCTTCCAATTATGCCAGTCAAGTATGCACCCATGAAGAAACTGATCCATCCACCCATCCATATATCCATCCATCCACCCACTCATCCATCCCTACATCCATCCTCCCATCCATCCTGGAGAACCCTCAGGATCTGTCCCTGGAGACCTCCTTACAGACATACCTCAGGTAGCTTCACATTTCATGTGTTTATGTGTAGTGCGTGTCTGTGTGAGCACCTGTGGGTACATGCGCACACCTATATGCAGGTGTGTACATGTGTATTCAGGCTCGTGTGGAGGTCAGAGATTGAAGTTGCGGGGGGTGTTTTCCTTAATCACTCTCTACTCTGAGGTGCTCTCTCACTGAATCTGGGGTTCGCCTGCTATGCTAACTCATCATCCTCTTGTCTCCATCAACCCATGCTGGAGTCATGGCGGCACTGACTGCCTTGACCAATTTATTTATTTTAATATGGTTGCTAAAGACAGAATGCAAATCCTCATGCATGGCAGACAGCTTAGCAACTGAGCCACTTCCAAAGCCCCTGCTCACGTTTCCTAATCCAGTCAGTGTGGCAATCAGCTCTAGCAAGTTCCGTGTCTATCCTCAGTCTCTCCCAACTTCTAACAGTCACCTGCCTTTCCCCTTGTTCCAGAATTCAGCTTACCTCAGAGAACTTTCCTCTCTTCTCTCCCATGTACCTACCAACCCTCAATCCTCATTTCCCTTTTTACAAAAATATGTATGTGTATGTGGTATATGTATGCATGTGGAAGACAGAAGTTGATATCATGTGTCTTCTGCAGTCTCTCCCCACTTCATTTCTGAGGCAGGGTCTCTTGCTGTACCCAGAGCATGTCAAGCTACCAGCATGCCCATGGCATCATCTGTCCCCACGTGCTGAGGTTAAAAGGCTCCAAGCCCACCTGCTTCTTTGTGGATGTTGGAGATCTGAACTCAGCTCTTAATGCTTGTATGTCACATGCTTTATCCACTGAGCCATCTCTCCAGAAACCTTGATCATCTATTTTTTTCCTTTCTATGCATTAATCCACCCTCCCTTCCTATCTACAGATCCATCCATCCATCCATCCATCTTCCCATCATCTCCTCACTCTCTTCATAGCATTTCTCCCAACCTCAGCCCCTGTCTCTTCTGCTGGCCTTCAAGGCCCTCAGAGGAGATCTCTGGGCTGGGGGCATCTATCTTCCATCTCTGACTTAGGGCACATCCTTGCACACAGTAGGGTGGGTGACTCTGAGGCCTTCACTCCACTCTCATTACTCTTGGTGCCTTTTTCATACTTGGCCAACAGCAAAATGGATATGGAATGTGGGAAAGAATTCTACAGTTCATCAGCAAGCCTCTGTGTCATGGAGAATAAAATCAAGGGAGTGAGAGCCTAGCAGAACCATCTTAAAAGTAGCAATTAGCTGTGGGGTGGGGTGGCCACTGGGAGCTGTGCATATCCAGAGCAGCTATCCTTGCTAATTAAGCAGTTTCCTAATTCCAGCTTTCTCGCATGTTACTTCTGACGGCCACCAAACAGAAGGCGGAGTTTGTGTGGCACGTCCAACAATGAGAGAGAGGCGATGGAGTGCGAGCACCTCTTCCCCCTGTCACCAGGAAAGAGGCACATGGAGACTGTTGTGATAAGACTTGTAGTGTGAGGGGTGGGGAGGTAATGGGGGGGGGTTGGGGGAGGGCGGTGCCTGTCGAGCTGCAGTCTCCCTTCCTCACTGTCAGGATGGGTTGAAGCACAGAGAAAGTCAGGAAAACGAGGAAACAACAAAAGCATGGAGACAACCTGGGGCTGATGAAGAAGATGAGCAGGAGGCACTTTCTGCTAATCTGAAGAGTGCAGAGGATGGGGAGAGGAATCCAAGGCACCGTTATGGACCCAGAGAGGAAGATTTGCCATGGTCAGGTCTGCCACCCACTAAATGGGGTGACTTTGGACAATAACACCACTTCTCCGAGCCTCATTTCTTTCATGTACATACAATGATACACATATTTACACAGATTCCACTC